TGAGCCATGTGGCAGCATGTAGATTAATAGAAATGGGTTTTAAGTTATAAGAGCTAGTTAGAAACAAGCCTAAGCTAAGATTGAGCTTTCATAATTAGCAAGAAGTCCCCATGCTGTTATTTGGGAGCTGCCAGTACAGAGAAAGTCTGCTACATGTTACTGTACATTTATACAATAATAGGGTTGACAATTACTAGAGTAGCAATATGAAAAATGAAGTTTGAAGTCCACAAAGAGAAACAGAATTTAAAAACTTGATCAAGTTTGGAGAGAAGGTTTGGTTCGCAAAGTGCTTGCTATGCAAGCATGGGGTACTGAGTTCAGATCTCTAGCACCCAAGTAAAACCTGGGTGCTCTAGTGCACCTGTAATCCAGTATTGGGGGAACAAAAACAGAACAGACCCCTGGGGTCTTCTGGTCATCCATTCTAGCTGAATGGGTGAGCTCCAGGTTCATGGAGTGACCTTGTCTCCCCTTCACAAAAAAAAAAAAAAAAAAAGGTGCAGAGCGATTGAGGAAGACAGCTAACATTGGCTTCTGGCCTTCATAGGCACGAATACACATGTAGGAGGGTCTTTCTTGTCGGACTTTCTTTGGACTACCAGTCACCAAATAATGACACAGAGACTTATTATTAATTATAAAAGCTTGGCCTTTAGCTTAGGCTTGTTCCCAACTACCTTATATGACTGAATTAACCTGTTTATATTAATCTATGTTTTTCTGTGTGGCTCATTACTCCCCTCCATACTGTACATCCGACTTCCTCAGTGCCTCCCTTGGGTCTCCCATGCCAGATTCTAACTCAGAGTTCCTTTCTCTCCTCCCAGAAGTCCCACCTATCCTCTCCTGCATAGCTTTTGGCCATTTATCTCTTTATTAACCTAATCAGAAGGTGTTTTAACAGAGACACATTTTCACAGTGTACAAAAAGATTATCCCACAACATACACACACACACACACAAGCACACATATCTGCATGCACACCAACTTGATCAATCGTGTTTAAGGGTAGAATTATCCAGTCTCTCTACAAACAAATTACAAAATATGAAGAAGCAAAGAGAATACAGATGAAAATGTAAAATATGAGCATTATAGATGTATGTTGGATAGTTAATTTATTTTTTAAAATTTCCTGAACTTGGAGATGGCTTGCTGTAACTGATGACACCAGTGAAATCTAGTGTAGAACCTTAGTGTAGTACAGCAGTTTTCAACTTGTGAGCCACAAGCTCTATGGGGGTCAAATGGCCCTTTCACAGGGGTCCCCTAAGACCTTTGGAAAACACAGGTATTTACATTACAACTCATAACAGTAGCAAAATTACAGTTATGAAGTAGCAACAAAAATAATTTTACGGTTGGGGGTCACCACAGCATGAGGAACTGTATTACAGGGTGGCAGCATTAGGAAGGCTGAGAGCCACTGGTCTAGTAGTATTCTTGTCACCCATTCAGGTCCTGCTTTAGAATATTTAAAGGAAAATAATGGCACAGGTCCAATTGTAGGGAGTTAAAGCAGCAACAGCTAGACCAGTGGTCAGAACTGAATAGTTTCCTGGGATATGAATCTTAGCTATTGGCGCCAACAATAGTGACACTAAAATATCACTGCATGATAATATGATGGGACATATTACATTTGCAGTATTCTTGCGTGACATCTCCTAGGGGAACAAGGAGATGTGGATACTTATAGAGCCATCTATATAGAGAGTTTTGCATTGGTGAGTAGGGTGGAGAAATATGGAATCATATATGAAGTGTAGAGGGTAATAGAAAATGGTATTGGCATTAAAGACCTTTCCATTTGTCTCACCCATGTAGCATTCCATTTTCCCACTAATAAAGATCCAACAAGATTGAAAATGGGTCTGCTTTAGAAATAAAAATGTGAGAACTGGTCTCTGGCTACAAGTATATTGACTCTCAGAGTACCACCTTACTTGTGATGGAACAGAAGGAAGAGGAAAAGTTGGGACTTGATCAGAGTCTGCCGCTCTGCCTTTAGCTTTATAGCCTTGCAGGGTTGGGGGAGGGGAAACTGAGTTTTCATCATCTGTAAAATGGGGGACAATAAGTTTCCTTGATGGCAAATAATTGTGTTTAAATGAACTTCTTAACCAAGAAAGTATTATTTATGTTTAGCATAAAACTCCAAGGTTAGTATAATAACAATGACATTTTAATTGTTGGTGAATAGCTAATGCAACATGCTTTAAGATCTCAGTTTATAGCTTTTCTCCATGTAGCTTCACAATTTAAAGATTATTCAGCATCATTTACTGGGTTATTAGGACAACACAGGCATACATATGTAACTGTAAAGCACAATAGCTATATTGTCTTCTTAACCACTCGAGTGACTAGTGAAGGAATGGCCTTTAATTGCTTAAAAGTTCAGCCTTAAAAATAGCTGGGAAGCTTTCTCAAGTTTGCCAGCTAGGTTGAGATCCTTAAGTGAGACTTCTTGTCAGCAGGAAAGGTGATCTGAAGAATGAACAAAAATAGCTTGTGTTCAACAGCTGTGATGTCTATAATTTATAAGCTGAGATCATCTCTCACCAGATTGCCATGGTGTACACACAAGACTGAGTTTGTCAGTTGTATGTTTAGTAGCTATCAGAAAACGAGGTTTTGTTATATGCATCTCTTGGTTCAATATTCACATAAAAATAGTGTGACTTGACACTTCATGTTTGAAGAATGTGACCACAAAATCTTATTGGCATGCACAATGCCACAAATGTTTGACTAACCTTTAATAATTAGTCCCCAAATAGCAAATAATCCTTTTTCTGTGTGTTTTAAAATTATTTTTTTTCATGGGCAAAACTGCAAGTATTTGTAATGTTTTGAAATGTGTATGTATATGTTCAAGCAATGGCTAACTGGAACTAATGTAAGTATGAAGCTTTATGCTTTTTCTCTAATAGGAAGCAAGTAATCTTCAAGTATGGAAAGACAGGTCAACACTAAATAACGGGGGCATTAAATGGAGGGACGGAGGGAAGAAGGGAGGGAGAGAGAGATTGCTTGATCATTAAATTATCGGCCCGGCACTAATACTCTGGTCCTTATGCTTTGGTTTTCCTTTTACTATTTTTTGACTTCCATCTTCAGTACACTTATTTAATTTGTGCTTTTACATCATTCTTGCTCCTCATAATACTTTTATCACCTCGGTTTTGCATTTACTGGAACGTGTAACTTATTTTCATATTTCTCTTTACTATTTTCCCCTTGTCCAGTCTCTCATATATGTACACACACACACACACACAAAGGTGCTGAAATATACTTAGGGCTGTGTCTGTGATTTATTGGGAAATTTTGTTCAAATTAGTTAAAACCGAGAGTGCTGGAGAGGATGTCTTTTGTGGGAGACCCGCTCCCACATTTATGCCCAGGGAACTCTTGAGGAGGGAGAAGTGAGAAATATTTAGATAGAGATACCTAGATAATGATAAGATGAAAGACAGAAACACAGGATTGCCCTGGGAGGACTTGGGTCAATACCCAACAGCCCAGAACTTTATTCAAAAGGGCTTTTATAACAGTGCTAAGGGGCAAGGCAAAAGACCTCCCCCTTGCTAGCTACAACCAAGTGTAGCCCCTTCCAAACACCTGGTACCCAGGCACATGGTCCAATCATGTTCATATGCAGCCCTGCTGGTAAAGCAAGCTCAGATCTCACTAGGAAACCTCTGTGGGCTCCAACAGTCTTTTATCTATGTAACGTGACTGTCTACGTAACTGCATGAAGAAAAGAAGTAAAATGGAGGACATGACTGCTCCTAGGTATGGTGGATGTGGGGCTTGTCTTATGTCAACTTGATACACTAGAGTTATCTTAGAGGAGAGAACCTCAGTTGAGAAAATTGCTCCATAAGATCCGGCTGTAAGACATTTTCTTAATTAGTGATTTATGGGGGAGGGCCCAGCCCATTGTGGGTGGTGCCATCCCTGGTCCTGGGTTCTATAAGAAAGCAGTCTGAGCAAGCCAGTAAGCAGCACCCCTCCATGGCCTTTGCGTCAGTTCCTGCTTCTAGGATCCTGCCATGTTTGAGTTCCTGTCCTGACCTCCTTTGATGATGAACAGTGCTGTGGAAGTGTAAGCCGAATAAACCCTTTCCTCATGGTCATAGTTCCCCGCCCCCCCCATAGAAAAACCTAACTAAGAGGGTGGAAAAGATTTATTGTAGATAAAAATGGGCAATACGGGCAAAAGCAGAGACAGAGACATCTGGGGGGAGGGGGAGGTGGGGGAGGTCCAGACTGAACAAGGTCATACTGAGCAGGGCCATGTGAAGAGAGGGGGAGGGGAGAAAGCAAGAGAGGAGCCTGGACCAGTGTAGCCAAAATGGCTGAGCTATATAGGGGCCAAAGGAGCTGGGGGAAGGGGCAGCCCAGCGTCTGGGCTGCAGAGTTCAGGGTAGGGGCCGGGGTATGCCAGCCAGGAGGACCCTGTAAGGTGGGGATGGAGGAATGCTGGGACAACCTGGCGGCCAGTATCACCTCCCGTTCATCCACAGGCACCCCAGTTAGCCGTTTGTCCCTGGTTTGAGACCGAACAATAACATGACCAGGAACTACTACAACATAGGAGTGAGTTATAAAAGAATGGGGTCGCCATCTGAAGAGGGTACGGACGAGATCGTCCCCAGACAAATAAGCCTTGATCGGTGCAGCATCCTAGGGGGTAGTAGGGGGAGGGCCGTCCACCCCAGCGTCCACCTCTGCCTGCCCCCCGGGCAAGTCTCCCTGTTGACAGCCCCTCGCCCCCACTTCTCTCGCTTCTCCTTCCGTCTCTGTCGCGCTCAGCTTCATCCCTGCCAGCTTCTCTCCCGTGGGCTTTGCCGGGGGCGCCTCGGATCTGAGCCCCAGGCCCACGTCCACACGCGCCCGGCTCCGCCAGCCCCACCGCGCCCCGCGCCCCCGGCGTCCCCGTCCCGCCCCCCGGGCCCGCTGCACTGTGGGTAGGCGGCGGCGGCGGCGGCGGTGGTGGTGGCGGCGGCGGCGGCTGCGCTGAGGGCCCGCGGCCGAGGGAGGCCGTGTGCCGACCATGGCTGAGAAGCAGAAGCACGACGGGAGGGTGAAGATCGGACACTACGTGCTGGGGGACACCCTGGGCGTCGGCACCTTCGGCAAAGTGAAGAGTGAGTGCAGGGACGCGGGCTGAAGGGGGGGGGGGGGGGCGGGCGGCAGGTGGAGCGCCGGCGGGCGAGCCGGGGGCCCCGGCCCCTCGCGCGGCAGCCGGGGCGTGGGTCTAGGGGACCACCCGCGTTATGGGCCGTGCCTCGGCGGTCCCTGCGAGCCCCCTGTCCCCTCTCTACCCCCTCAGCGCCCTTGTCTGCAGAACTGGGCGGCTGGCCCAGTCCGAAGGGCCCCGGAGCGTGGTTGGGGATGGGGGAGTCACCGCGCCGTGGGATCGGGAGCGGGTCTCCCCACTCGTGCCAGGTGCCCTGCGTGGAGCGTCCTCTGCGGTCTCAGTTAAACCTTAACGTGGCGCGGTCAGGGTGTGGCCTTCACCTTAAAGGTGAGAGGACGCCAGCCCCAGGGCTTCAGCGGCACGCCCAAGGTCACAGAGAATTGGCGGATTCAGGGTCCGGAGTCTAAGATGTCCTCCAATTTTGGCCTTGCTGAGAGGCCCCTGCCTTCCCCCGGATTCTGCCCTGTACCAGGCCTTTGATGGTGGAGTTGACTGGGGGGGCATGGCTACAGCCAGGAGGTGGTGGTGGGGTTGTCCCTCTGCTGGGTGTGTGAAACGCTGAAATGCAGTCGGTTGGGCAGCACTTTGGGACCCCCCCCCCCCCCCCCCCCCATCTCTCAGGTTGATTGGTGTTTGTAAAATGTTTGAGGAAGGCTTCTGGGATTAGGAAAACGTTCCTTGGTGATGGAATTTAGGGCCGAAGAGGTCAGAATTGCTTAGGCATGTGTGTTCTTGAAGTTTTTGTTTTTTTGGTTTTTTGGTTTTTTTTGGTGAAGGGATTGCAGTTGCGGTTTAGAAAAAAACAAAACAGGCAGCTTTGGAAATTTCACACTGTACTTACTAGTTAAGTATTAAACTTTGCTTTGCTTTCTTATTAGTTACTAAGAGTCACGTGAGGTTTCATTACCTGTCTTCTGAACAGCTCTTGTTAAAAATACTTGGTTGCAAGTTGAGAAAAGTGAAACATTAGCTTTTTTGTTGTTGAATAAATGTTGGGTAAGCAGTCTAGAAACGTTATGCTGAGGTTTATTGAAGACTTGAGGTTCAAAGTAGAAGGGAGAGACTCATCGTTTCTGCAAGGATTAACTCCTGTTCTCTTGGTATATCTAATACCCATTTGTACAAGAGAAAACACTTACCGGGCGCTCTTAGCACCTGGGAGGCACTGTTCCAGGCAACAGAGTTCTAGGAAAGAACAAAACCCGAGCTTTCCTGGGGCTCACTTTCTACCAGGACAACCAGAGTACATGTGTGAAGTCTATGCTCCCTACTGTTGAGAAATGAGAATACCGGGAAGGAAGCGCAGTTTTGTGAGGTTGGCAGATTATAATGAAGCAGTCACACGTGGCCTCGCCAGGTGGGTATTTTTGTAAAGACCTAAACTGTTCGTAAAATCCTTTGAAGTCTTGCTGTGAAGTTGAGAGGAAAAAAGTGTCGGGATCTTGGAAGAAAAGTGGATATGGATAGTCAGGAGATGGTCCAGAGATTAATGAATGACGTTGACAACATCTTTGCTGAGAACTGCTTTGTTATGACATTACACAGTCCAGCAAACCTCTGCTTTGCCATTTAGGGTAAGTTATATAACTTAGCCCTATATCCTTTCGAGTTCTGTTGCATGCTTTTGTTTGCTCAGCCCATTGTCAAACGATAATTTAAATCTATTTAGGTTATATTCTCTCTGCTTCTAAGCACCAGCTTCCTAAAATATAAACGTAACAGAAGGAACCTTTGATTTATGAGAAAAATCCTTTTCCTGGCAAACCCTGGTGGAATGAGCAACTGGTTAGAGTTTTTCTGACATTATTTGATCATCCCTAAAGAGACACAGTGGTGCATAGTTACTTTTAATTGTCAGATTCATGCAAGGTAGAATATTCTAGGAAAGGAATCTTGAATCTTTTTTTTTTTTTTTTTTCCGAGACAGGGTTTCTCTGTGTAGCTTTGGTGCCTGCCCTGGAACTCACTCTGTAGACCAGGCTGGCCTCTAACTCACACTTATCCTCCTGGCTCTGCCTCCCGAGTGCTGGGATTAAAGGCGTGAGCCACCGTTACCGTCTAGGAAAGGAACCTTAATGATCACTTAGATCAGGTTAGCTTGTCAGCATGTCCATGGGGAATTGTCTTGGTTGTATTAATTGAAGGGAGAAGACCCACCCATTCTGGGCAGCACCGTTCCCTGAGTTTGCGTCCTGGACTGTAGAAGTGTAAAGAGAGGACTGAGCATGAGCAAGCATGCATGCATTCTCTCTCTGCTCTTGTCTGTGGATGTTCCTTCCTTGACTTCCCTGGAATGAATGGAGCCTGGGATGTTGAGTTAAAATGTCCCCTTTCTCCACTTTCCGCTTTTAGTCAGGGTGTTTTATGACAGAAATTAAACTGGTCATGTGGGTTGTAATCAGTGCAGCTACAGTTCAGTTAATTCAAGGAACTGGTGAAACAAAGCACGTGCATTTAAAAACTACATTTTTACTTAGGATTTGACAAGTTCATACTTACATACGATGCGCCTGAATCAAATCCACCCCACACTCTCTCCCCTCAGACTCCTTTCATCCACCACCACCACTTCTCCATTCCCATTTTATGTCCTCCTTCTTAACCCATGGAATCCACATAGTGCTGCCAGTGTGTGCCCGACCACTGGAACATGGGCAGACTACCAGGGGTCACATCTGAAGAAAACCAGCCTCCAACCCCCACCTCACAAGCAGCTGTCAACTGCCAGTAGCTTCTCAGCTAGGAGTGGGTCTTTGTGAGCATCTCCCCTATCCAAGGCGCATGTGTATATACATATACACACACATATATACATTATATATATAATGTATATGTATATATGTATATATAGTTATTGAGGTATGTTTTACATATTATAAAAGTCACTGATTGTAAGTGTACAATTCAACAGTTTTTGGTAATTTTACCAAGTACAACAACCATCATTGTAGCTTAGCTGTGGAACTTCTATTTTGCCCATTTACATTTATCCCAGTCCCACCCAGAACCCTGGATACCACTAATCTATGCCTAATATGTATAAAAAAAAGTCTTTCTGGAAACTTAGAATTGGAATCATTGAGTATGGAGTCTCTTATATCTAGTTTTTGAGCAGTGTTTTCGAGGTTCATACCTAGCATAACATGTCACTGACTCATTCCTTTCTATTGAGTGATCTTCCTTTGCATGTGTATCCCCGCCCCTATACATTCACTAGCTGCTGGTCATTGTCTTAAGTTAAAGGCTATTACAATAGTGCCGCCATGAATATTCATGTGCAGATCTGTGTGTTGTTTCCCTGAGAAAATACTTTAGGGAAGGAAGATAAAGTTCAGCCAGGTTTAAGAGGTTTCAGTCTATGTTTGCTTGATTTCATTTGTCCTGGGTAATGAGGCAAGAACACCATGGCAGGAAGAAAATGAAGCAAGGAAGCTTACCTCATGAAAGATTGGCCCACCTCCTACCTTCTACTACCCACCCAATAAGGCCCTCATGATATGAACAGAGCAGGAATTAGTCTGTTGTTGAAGGCTGAACCTCGTGGACCATTCGCCTTCAATAGTGCCACCAACTAGAGACTTTTGGGGAACAATTCATATCCAAACCTTAACAATGGGGATACATATCTTTTTTCTTTTTATCTTGGATAGGTACTTAGAATTGCTGGTTCCTATCATAGTTTTATTTTTAACTTTTTGAGAAACTGACAAACTGTTTTCCAAAATGGTTGTACGATTTTATATCCCCACCGGCCTTTTCTCCATTTCCTTATCAACGCCTGTTATTGTTTTTCTGACTTGTTACAGTTATTCCATTGGGTGAGCTCATTGAGGTTTTAACTTTGCATCTTACTAGTGACTAATGGTATTGACCATCTTTTCATTTATTCTTCTATCATCCACATATTTTCTTAAGTGAAATATACATATTACTTGTTCTGTTTTTTAGTGTTTTTTTTTTTTTGTTTTTGGAGACAAGGTCTCACTATGCAGGTATGGCTGTCCTGGAACTTGCTATGCAGACCAGGCTGGCCTCAAACACCCAGAACTCCTAGCGATCTGCCTGCCTCTGCCTCCTGAGTACTGGGATTAAAGGTGTGCACCCCTCGCCCCATACCTAGCTATTTGCTCTACTTTTGGTTGGGGTGTACTATACATGGCTTGAATAGGGTTTGTCCTGTATAATAACTGATATTGGAATTTGATTCCAACACTGCATTGAAAGGTGGTGGGCCCCTTATGAGGTAATCAGGTCTTTAAGAGGAATCAAGTGCCTTCTTTGGTAGGTTAAGGAATGGTGGGATAGAGTGTGGTTATAAATCAACTTTGCCCTTTGTGGTTTGTGGCTTTCCCATGCACTTGCTTGTCCTGCTTTTCTGCTATGAGATCACGTACCGTGAAGTTGTTCCCAGAAGCTGAGTAGATGCTGGCACCATGCTCGTAGACTTCCCAACCTCTGTCACCACTAGCCAAAATAAACTGCCTCGCTTACTAAATTACCTTCTCTCAAATATGCTGTGTACCAGTAGAAGACAGGCTAAGACAAGTTGCTCATCAACTTTTAAGCTGAGTTAAAAGGATTTTTTAAAAACAATAATCTTTGCTACAAGTCTCTTGCTGAATATGTATTGCAAATAAAATTCTCCTCTGTGCTTTGTAGCACTCTCTCCTCCCTCCCCCTCCTTCCTTGTCTTTCATTTGATATAGGAACTTATGTATCTCAGACTGGCATCAAACTCCATATGTTGCCAAGCCTGGCTTAGTGTTTCTGATCCTCCTGTCTCTGCTTCCCAAACGACAGGATTAATGGCATGCACCAGCATGCCCCATTTCTGAGGTTCTCAGGCATGCTAGGCAAGCACTCTATCAACTACTTCCCAAATGACAGGATTAACAGCATGCACCAGCATGCCCCATTTCTGAGGGTCTCAGGCATGCTAGGCAAGCG